CAAAAGCAAGTGTTCCCACATTGTTCATGCGAAACCATATGTCCCACTCTACCACAGGGCAGCAGAAAGACCACAGCAAGGAAGAGAAGGATAATACATTAAAACAAACCTCACAGGTCCCGATTTTTCCTTCAATAGCCCATTCTCCACACCTTCCTCCCAAAACAGTTCAAAGGCATTTTCCTTCAGTGAAACCTGCAGCAGATCAAACACTACACTGGGCAATTTCTTGTCCTTCTTCTCAGACTTGGCAGCACTTTGCAGAAGCTCTACAAGTCTAGAAGAAGAAAGAAAATAATGCAAGAGATCCAGCCTGGGAAGGGATTGTTGAGGGCCAGATTCACTCTGCTGAAGGACACAGGATGCAGACTCTGCCTCTTGGGAGAAATGACAGGGCTGTAATTTAGGGACCAGCATAACAGAGCTGAATCCTTCACAGCACCTGCAGTGGCAAATACAGGCAGGCATCTGAATGAAAGCCACTTTTCTCTCAGTTAGCTAAGAGACCAAGAATGTTGCATTTAATGCTCATTATTCAAGAACTTACCTGGGAATATTTTCCTCAGTTACAACAGTAGGTGAGCCAAAGAGCTTCTTCAGTTTTTTAGGTTTCAGAACACTAGGGAATTTCTGTATGCCCACAAGCAAAAGGTGCAGGTTCTCTGGAGATGCGAAGGCTGAAGCAAGGTCACTTTGCAAGATGCCAAACAGGACCTCCTCAAACACCGATTCAGGAACCTAGACAGGAACAAAAGGGAGAGCACATGGAAAACATCTGAGACCTTTTTACTAACTTGCTGTACAGTATAATAACATACCAGCATTGTAGGGCATTTTACTAAAAGCTTGCAATGTTCTGGAAACTTCAGAAATAGTCTTTACAGTGACACAACCAAAAATGAGCAATGCACGTGTCCAGTACTGCTATGCAGTCCCCAGCTACTTAACCACGTGGTGCAGGACAGTATGTTGTCACCAGAGAGCAACCCCGGTCAACTGACTCCCACTGCGATTGCTTCTGTTGCTGTCTGACTGCTCCTCTCTGTATGGCCCACGGAGGAGAAAACACTCCTGTATTAGCTTTTAATTATATTTCCCCAAAATAATTACTTGTTTCGTTAAGATTTTCTGGTAAACTGTGTTCAATACATTTAGAGAAAACTGGATCCAGTGTTTTCATCAATAAAAATTAGAAACGCACAAAAAACTGCTTTAATTTGTATTTTTGTAAGATTGGATTCAAAATACCTGTAAATCTAATACCAAGACTAGATGACACAGAACACCTACCTACAGAATATCATTTTATTTTAACACGGTGAATCTTCATACAAACAACCAACATCCACGTAAAAGAAGGAAATAAACTCTCTTCTTTTACTACATACTCAAAAGTTCCTTTACCCCATGTTCTTACATGCTCTTACACTCAACAGCCCAAGCTTCAACCTTAGGCCCAGGCAAGGTGCATAAAAAAGGTTTGCTGGCCAGAGTTCTCACCATACTTCTGTTCAAAAGAGCACAGTCTAAGATATCACCCAAGCAAGTCACCTGGGTAAAAAACTGACTGCAGGTTTGTCCATAACAAAATCAGACTGAACCAGACCATCCTTCCCAGAATAAAAGCATCTGCTGACAGACAATATAGCAAACAGATCCTATAGTTTAAAGTCACTCTTCCACACACCCCTTTTAACTTTCAACTATGAACAAATCAAAGAAAAAGCATTCCCCAAGGCAAGATCCTGCCCCCTCCCACCCACCACATGCTGTGGCTGTACCTCAGACATGATGTCAATAAGAGTTTTGCGAGGGAGATCTCTGAGGTGTGCTTGGTGATTTGCCAGCTGCTGGAGAAGCTGGATGCTCCCCAGCAGAGCATTCCGGTCCTCAAAAAGAAAGATAAGCCAAAATCAGAAGACATGAATCAAAGATTAAGCTGAAGGCTGAGGTAATAATCTACTCTTGAGATCCTTACAGCTACTTGTAATAAGAAACCTACATGACTGCTTCCTGACAGGCTTTTCCTAAAATGATGTTTTATGGCTGTACATGACAACAGATCCCTTCCTTACAGGAGAGGCAGGAACCTTCCATGCTATCTGACACAGTTCCTACATTCTAGTCAGGAAGAGACATTTAAAAGGCACAAAAAGTCCATGGATAATGCACAAGGAATTCACTAAATCTGATGCTTCAAGTCCCATCATTGACTAGGCAATGACCCAGTCTTTCTCCCTAGATACTCTTTGCACTTCAGACAGCCCTAGAACGAGTACTGACAAACAACATAACAGCAATATTACCTTAACAAGCCGGCCAGATTGAAACAGAGCCATAACTCCAAAAAAGTTTCCAAAAGCAGCATTTCTCACAAGTTTCTGAAGAGAGGAAAAAAAAGGAGGTTAAAGATCCAGTTCACTGAGAGGTTAAGTTTCATGGCCAACTATAGCTCTAAGCAGTGGAACAAGATGGCTGGAAGACGCAGCCTTGAACACCCTGCCATGTGAAGGTTACTCACTGAAATGCACCACCCTGCATGATATTTAAGAACTGTCCTAGACTGTCTTTCCCAAAGACAAATCTCAGCTAAAACAGGGCCAGATGACAATGTCATCAACCGCCAGTTTTCCCAGATACTCCCGTTATTTCATTCTAGTCATTTTAGTCTTTAGCAAGAGGCCCAAAACTACTGTATCCAGGCACCAAGCCTTCAATGAACAGAGAATGGTTAATTTAAACTATTGGCCAATGCTGCTGCGGGCCAACTCACCTTTTTCACTTTTTCCAGATTGTGTTTTTCCTTTATCTGTTCCAGGACATTGCAAATTGGAATTTCCTCAAAAGCCTGTAAAACCTGAGGAGATGGATGGAATAGCTCAGTTTGCAGATCTTCCATTTTACAAAGTTTTACTGGGCTCCGCTGAAACAAGATCTGGACAGCTGCTCAGCATAACAGCAGATGTGCTGCTTTATTAGGCCAGAATACAGACAACTACATTAGTAGAAGATGTGTAAGAACAGGAACTAGTGTAGGCATAAATATACCTGCTGATACTCCTTTTTTTCCTATATGTGACATAGCAGTATTAATGAGAACATTTTGCTGCAACTGCATCACCCTGTATCAGAAGCAACAACACTTTACAGCAAGGACAAGGCCCTACTCTGAGTGGGAAGAACACAACAGGCTCTTCTCCATTACCAACTTCTTAGGTGAGGTGAAGCGATCCCGACTGCTGAGGCTCTTAGCTATGTTACAGACCCAAGCAGCGTGGAGGAAAACGAAACTCTGAAGTGTGTGTTAAAGGGCGGCCTTTCCAGATCTCCCACATAAACAGCCCCATACCAGGAGCAAGGCAATTTTAAATCATAATAGTCCTAAATGCAGCATACTTGAAAACATGGTCGACATTTGCAAGTGAAGGATGATTCTTAAAGCAGGACAGAACGCTACAACATGAGCGTGATACTGGTATAGCTTATACCTTTTAAAGTGCATTGTTTCTGAAACGGACTAGCACCAGTGAAAACCACACAGGTTTTATATATGAGAAGGCGTGAGCCTCCCCTGCCACCTGCATGCAGGTGCTGCCAGAGGGGAGCACTCCAGCCTCCCTACACACAGCAAAGCGGGGCCCCAGGAATTGATGGGGCCGGAGAGGAGCCGCAGAGCGCTCTGCTCCGCTCTAGGAAACACTGACCTGCGCCAGGGCCAAGCTGAAGCCGGGGCGGGCGGCCTCGCGGGTGGCTCCCAGTCCTTCCACCAGACGCTTGAGGGTGTACTTCAGCTCATCGTCCTGCAAGAGAGACCCAGCTCCGGAACCCTGCGAGGCTGCCGGGCCCGCCGCTCCTCTGCCCGGACAGAGCGTTCCCAAGCATCGGCGGAGGGAAGAGTCATGCGAGCCGGTGTCCGCCGGCACCCGCAGCCCCTCCGCCCGGCCCCGGCGCCCCCTCACCTTCCTGCCCTCCCGCAGGTGCCGCAGGAGGTTCTCGGTGGCCGCCAGCCGCACCTCCTGCTCCGGCTTAGCGATGTCCCAGAAGAAGTCGAGGAAGGCACGGCCCTGCCTCAACACCCCACGGGGGTCGGTGACCACGCCACCACCTCCCAGGCCCTCCAGCTCCGCCATGCCTCCGCTGCAGCACGTGGGGCCGCTGCCGTCCTCCGCCCGCCCCGCCTCTTCCGGGGCACCGGGGCCGGAGCGGGGACGCGCTCGTCAGACGGGACGGGCCGAGCTGAGCCGCCGCCTGCCGGCCCCTCAGCCCCGCGGGGTCCCTGCAGCGTCCCACGCTCCTTCAGCGCCATGTTCTCCTCCCGGCCCCTCCCCAAGCTTTGTTCATCCCTCCCCTGCCCCAAGGGCTTCCTTCGCTTCCCCGTGCCCTGGTTTGCAGCTTTCGAGGGAGGTTTGAATTCTCTGTCCGCGAAGGAGCGGGACTGGGCAGGGGAAGAGAGCTACGGAGTGAGCGGGGCGCTCCGTCCTCCCGTGTGAAATAGGACGGTGCAGGGTCAGCGGCACCGCTGGTTGTACGAACATCCAGACGTGCGTTTATTACAAGCCTGAAATAATGGCCTAGGAAACAAACCAGTTCGGACAAAGGGTTCGTGTTTAGGGACACGAAGACGCTTTCGGTCTTCATTTACAATAAAATACAGGGCTATTGTCCAGCTGCCACACGAAAATTGCGCACGTTTGCAGCGCTCTTTCCAGACTTCGGTCTCATACCGGCCGCAGGGGCGCAGGTAACAAGTGTAGCGCCTGGAGCACGAACCGCTCTGCCTTGTGTCGTACTCTCAGCGACTGCAGGACGATTTGGGACACATGGGAGAGCACCGACCAACAAAAGCCTCAGGCTGGTCCCAACACATCCGGGGAGCAACCCAGAGTCCCCGGCAAAGCAGGCCCGGGCGGCGGTGGCAGGCGGAGGGGTGAGGGCTTCCCGACAGGCAGTAGTGCGGGCAGCCCCAACGGGGCGGGGCGCCAGAGACAGGCACCGCGAGGGGCAGCCATGGCCCGGGCCCCGCCTTATATAAGAGGGGCGGGGTCCTGCGGGCGTGGTCGTGTAACGTTCGCCCGGGGAGGAGGCTGAGGTGGCCATGGCGGATTTCGATCCTTACGACGATCGGGCCTACAGCTGCTTCGGCGGCGGCCGAGGGTGAGCGCGGAATTGCGGGCAGCGCCGGGGCCTGGGCCGCTGGGGAGCTCCGAGGCCTCACCCCGGAGCGGGGAGGGAAGGAGGGAGTGGCGCTCCGCGCCCCCCCTTTCCCCACCAAGCCGGGCGAGGAGGGGGCGCGGCCGTTTAGGGCCTAGCCTGCCCCACTCCCCATGGAGATGGCGGGCGGGCACGGCGGGTGTAGAGAGGGATCGGGGGACGCTGCCTCGCTGAACCTTTTGGGCCCGTCTCGCCCCGCCGGCTTCCCTTCTTGGGGTCGCGTTTGCCTGCGGCCTTGGCGGGCCCGCTTTGTGAAGCGAGGAAAAGGCTTTGCTGTCCCGGGAGGGGGAGAGCTGCCGTCACCGGGCTACGTGGGGACAGTGCCGCAAGGTTTAGGGCCTGGCGGCGTGGAAACGCCGGGAAGGGGCGGGAGGAAGGTGTCGCTGTGTTCCCGCCGGCCGGGAGGCGAGTGCAGGGAGGGGATTTAGGGAGCGCTGGGCCAGAGCCAAGGTAGGCCATGAGGAGCTGTTGCAGGGACAGAGCGGGAGATAGGAAGAGGGAGATTCCCGTGAAGAGCTGGAGTGGGGCGAGAGGCCCCTGTTCTGGCGGGGAGAGCTGCTGCGGTGAAGACCCCAGAGCGGGCAGCGTTGTGTCTGCAGCGAGAGGAAATGGGAGGGCTTTGTGGTGCCTCCGGCCGGGAGGAGTATGAGCCGCGTTATGCAGGGCTCCGGGTGCCGACTCCAAATTCACGGTCCTTAAGAATGAATAGGGCTTGTCTAATCTCTGGGTTTGTTGGGGTTTTTTTGTGCTGGAGAGTGGGTATAGGAGAGGAGCTACGGAAACAATAACCAGCAAAGTTTGCCTTAAATCAGGTTATGAAGATGCAGTTAACAGTTGACTTTTTTGAAGGTTGCTGCCATATAAAGTGTGCACTAAAATAAAACAGTAGGTATAAAACGATGAAATAAACTGTCCTTGTGAGCAAATCTTAGCAAGTATGTTATTTTATAATTAATCGTCCAAGGTATGTTCCCTGATCCACGGTGTTCTTGTTCTTTCGTTTTCTTAGAGGAATAAATCATTTCCATTTCAAACTGTTTAGGCAGTGCAGAAGTTTACTGCTGAGGTTGTAACAGAAGTAAGTTTTCTAGTCTTTAGAAATACTTTGACACTTAAGCTATGCAAACTTGTTTTTATGCATAGGTACCATTTGTGTCTAAAGAAAGGATGACCCAGAGCAAACAGATGATGTACCTACTTACAATTCTGTATTGTTTTAAATTCTGTAACAAGTAGCCTTGACAGCAGCCTTGACACTCATAATAAATTCAGCTATTCAGTCTCTCCTAGTCAATGTAGGCACATTCTATGAAGTAATAAAATTAATGCTAAAATGTTACTTTCATATTCAGATTTCTTTAATAGAGTACTTAAACTTGCTCTCAGGCAAGATGTGGATACCTTGTTTTGGTGAGCTAAAGGCATCCTGCTGCGTAGTAAATACCTTTGCAGATCAGAAGATGTATTTATTCTGAATTAGCAGTAGTTTTAAGCCTCAGATACTACTAATATTAGTGTAACTTGTACTTGCATTTAATTATTATTACTAATAAGTTACTAACAGCTAATGCATTATTTCAGACCTTAACAGGTTTCTGTGCATTGTATGACGTCCCATAGTATGTGTAACATAATGATAGCATGACTGTTCTTGAAGGTTCCCATGTTAGCTTAGCGACTCCGACTCAATTTCAGGCACTTTAGGACTGTAAGAATAGCATAAACTCAGTTGAGAGATAATGGTTTTTGTGGAAGTTGTGTTTTGTATAACCTTTGGTCTGTACTATGAGTGAGCATAGGTTTTAAGTAAGACAGAAAATAGTTCTGACATATGTAAGATACCTAGCTCTTTCTCATACTTTTCAACATCATGGTAGAAGAGCAACAGAATATGACTGGTGTGATAAGAGAGGTGGTTTTGCTACACTTGAGATGTCTGGTAATGCACTAAATAAGAGCTGAAACATAATACTGTGGTATGCAGAACTTATTCCAGATGAAGTACATGCTGCTGACCTTAAAAGGGTTACTATAAACACGTCTTTTTTGTGTTTTGGAGCCAAAATTTGACAGAAAAACCTGTAATTAAGTGCTCTGAGGCCTAGCTGAAGCTCTGAATAGCTCCTCCAAATTGAAGGAAACTGAGTGTTTATGGCTCCAGACTTGCTGTTAGACTGTTTAGTTAGGTGTGCCTTTAAGCACTGGGCTCAGTAATAGTGGGCACTGTACTCAAAGGTTAAGATTCATCTACTGTACTGTACAAGTAAGTGAAAGTAGAGAGCTAGTCTCTGTCCTTCTGGTGTTTTGAATTCTGTGTCTTACCCATTCAGTGTTAATAAATGTCCCATCATTTTTAGGCTTGGGTAAGCTTTTTGTTAAAGACATCTGGTGCTCAACAAAACTTGCATTCTGCTGAGCCTTATGCTGCCTCTGGTAAAGCAACTGCCATTGGAATCCAAATAGACTGTTGTCTCCATGCTATGCAGAAAGATAAATACTGAGCTATTGGTTTGATCCTTAGTGAAAGGCTTTAAACTCAAATACTAGCTTTCAAAATATCCATTTGTTTAAAACTTTTAGAGAGATAATGTTTTCTGGAGAGAGTAACTGTGTAAAAAAGTAGCTTCCAAATTGTAGCTTAGTTGTTCTTTCTACACAGTATGGCCTTACAATGTTATTGAGTCAGTCCATCAATAAGTATAATTCTAGGGATATTTGCTTCTGCATTTGTTAGAAGCAAGCTTTTGAGCTTTCTGGTTTGGTTTCCTGAAAAAAAGAAAGCAAATAGTTCGCTTTCAGATTCCCACATTAAGATGACACAATTGTTACCTGATTGTATCTGAACAAAAGTTACACTGAGTGGGAAATGCAGATACTCTTTAACACTTTGGTGTGACCCTAGTTCACTTAGTTCAGATATGGTTTTGATTACAGTTGACTTTTATCCTGTTTTGCTATAAATGAGAGCATCTTCTTTCAGTCTCATTGTTTGGTTAATCAAGTCAGCCTTATTATTTCACTGTTTCAGTGTTGGAAAAAATGCAGGGAAGCATAGAAACAGCTTCTTTTTGTGTTGCTGTACCTGGATTCTGTTTGGAAACTAGTTATTGACAGTTCACTCTTGTTCTTCAAATGGAGACTTAAAATACCAGATATTTAGTGATATATTTTATAACTGAGGTCTTAATGATCATATTCAATAAGAATACTTCATTTTCTGACTGAACATCAGGAGGGATTACACAACAGTGAATGGATTTCCACACAAGCACCCCAGAGTTCTGGTTTGCTATGGTAGAAACAAGGTTTGTCTGTAGCACCAAAAATTCTTTTGGGGATTGCTAACTTGAGGGTGTGGTTTCAGCAGCAGCTCAAATTGATCTGAGTGGAGGTTGCTGTTGAAAGCTGGAGTTTTGAGCTTCTGTTTGTGTTCTCCTTCCATGTTGGCACCAGTGCTCTTTGCAGCTGTCCAGATCGCCTTGTTGATCTGGCTGAGAATTCAACTTTAGAATGAGTTTGTAGGCAAATCAGCTTACTGAACAAGATGACTAGCAGTTCAAGGACCATGGTGAGAATGTATAGAAGGAGGGAATGTTCCTTTTAAATTTAGCTGCAGCAATTCTAATGTTCCTATAGGACATAAAAATGAATTTATTTTTGACTGAAAAGTAGATGCATGCTATTTTAATAGCTGTTTGTGAGGCCATACAGAAATTCTACATATTATGGAGTTCTTTAGAAGAGCAACTCTACTTTCTTGGAGGTCCTCCTTAAACCTTGTTCCTGTGACTAAAGTTAACTCTACTGTACAGAACACTCAACTATAGCAGCTTTAGTTCGCCAGTATGTTTTTGACTCTGACTTGTTAATGAGACAAAGGCAGATGAGGAGCATTGTCAAAAATGCTAAAATACAAACCTGGGTGGACACTAATTAAAGATGTGTAGGTTGTGATTCAAATACATTTAGCAGCATGCTGATGGTGTTGGTGACAAATGGCTCCTGCCTTGGAGCTGCTACCATAAAAAGGCACATATGACAGGCTTACCTCGTAAGAGTGAAGGAATCTTCAAGATCTCTGCATTAGCTGATTTATTAGTAATAAAATGTTTATTCTGGAATGGAAAAAGATACATTGCTTGCCCACTGAATATTCTGCCTGCATGGAGACCTCAGAGCAGCCTTTCAACATCTGAAGGGGGCCTGCAAGGGTACTGGAGAGGGTCTCTTCATCAGGGACTGTAGTGATAGAACAATGGGTAATGGATTCAAAAGTAAACAGGGGATGTTCAGACTGGATATAAGGCAGAAGTTCTTTACTGTGAGGGTGCTGTGGTGCTGGCACAGGATTGTCCAGAGAAGCTGTGGCTGCCCCATCCCTGGCTGTGTTCAAGACCAGGTTGGGAGGAGTCTTGGTGACATGGTCTGGTGGGAGGTGTCCCTGCCCATGGCAGGGGGTTTGGAACTAGATGATCTTAAGTCCCTTTCCAACCTAAACCATTCTATGGAAAAATAGTTGTTTGACCTTCTGTATTTTAGGTAGGACTTTGCAGAAATCTAATTAGTCCATGTCACACTAGCAAATACTGGTTTGGTACAGTTTATGGTCTATTGTGCTTTTAAAGGCACAGTGAGCCTCTGGGAAAGGGAACAGACATGAAGAAAACCCAGTAAAAGTAAGGCATTGAAGAGAACAGGGGCAGGGTAGTGGTGTCTCGGGTAGAAGTCAAAGATTGCTTAGGTGGGCAAATGGTCTTGGAACCAGTGACAGTGCATCCTGCACTCTGGAAGTCCAGGAGGTGTAACTTAAGATTGCCTTGTGCTCACAGTACAAATCCTTTTCTCTGTAAAGGAGATCAAAGAAAGCTTTGGAAAATGAGGCTCTCCAGGAAATGAACACACTTTATATTAATACAGTAAAGAATTTAGCTGCTACAGTCTAGTTCCTCAGCAACCAATGCCAATAGCCTTAACTGAGACTGAGGAAAAAGACAGGAAAAGACAATCTAGGTTTTCCAGACAACAGGTTGCCCGTAGAGGTGGTGGATGCCCATCCCTGGAGGCATTGAAGGCCAGGCTGAATGTGGTTCTAGGAAACCTGATCCATTTGAAAATCTTCCTGCTCATTGCAGGGGGTTTGGACTAGATGACCTTTGAAGGTCCCTTCCAGCCCAAACTATTCTATGATTCTATGAACCTGATTACTTCAAGTCTGTAATTCAGGAAGAAGCAAACATCCAAAGAGCACCGGTAGCAGTTTCTCTGTCCTAGAACACCTTGCCAACCGAGTTTTTTAGTATGTGTCCAATTCAGTGTATTCCAGTCCAGATCCCCATACCTGACAGTATGGCAGTGACTTCAGAATTAGGAGAAGATGTTTCTGTTAACTAAATGCTGATAAAATAATTTAGATAATTGTGGGGTGGATGCTGATAATACACTATTTGATCCATTGCATCCAGCTTAATTTCAGATAAACTGACAAGCCTGTGCCATGCAAGCGTTTCTTCACTGCTATAAATTATAATTAAAATCTAGTCTAGGATGTGGGTTTGTTTTTGTTTTTTTTGAGAAGTAATGGGTTTGAGTAGGGAACAGTAGAGAGAAACTTACATTGCTTTTCTTAATGGATTATGGGATGATTCAAGGCCAGTTTGGACAGAGCCATGGGCAACATGGTCTACGGTGAGGTTCCCAACCCATGGCAGGGGGGTTGGAACTAGATGATCTTAGTCCTTTCCAACCCTAACTATTCTATGAGAAAGAAGCTCATTCATCATTTTGTTTTGAGTTCACCTGTAGTGTATTTAAATACATTGTTCATTTGTTCTTCCACTGAAATACTGCATCAGGTAATACTAGAAAGGAGTAGGCCAGTAGTGGAGGTGGCAGGTAGAGGCAAAAGACAGAGAAAAACTAACCAAAGCTGTAGAAGAATCACTTCCAACAGCACTTGAGCAGTGCTGTGTGCTGTATTACTGGCTGTGTTGGGAGACAGGTTCCAGAGACACTGTGATTTTATTAACAGGTCTCGTGGTGGTGGCCTTGGTTCCCGCAAACAGAAAGAGCTGCCGACAGAACCCCCTTTCACAGCATATGTGGGAAACCTACCCTTCAACACTGTTCAAGGAGACATAGATGCCATCTTCAAGGATCTCAACATAAGGAGCGTACGACTAGTCAGAGACAAGGAAACAGACAAATTTAAAGGTGAGTGTTCAGAGTTGAATTGGTTGTGGATGCTAGCTGGTAGGGGAAATGGGGGACTTCCGAAGTCAGTTTAATGGAGAACTTCAGTTTACTGTAAAGCGTGGTTAGTTTGTTAATCTGTGTTTGTTCTTTATATTGACTTATGCAAATTTCTCATTCATTAACAGTTAAATATCTAATTTGAATGAGATTCACTATTGCTTCAGTCGTCTTCAGATACAGACTAACCAAGTGCCAGGTCAATATTTGCCCTGCCATAAAAGGGTTTTTTCAAACCTTGTTTGTCTTGCATGAATTCTAACAAAGCTGAAGTGTTTGACCCACTTAAGATCCATGACCTTAAGTGTTGAGTACTTACACAATCTTTCTTTAACTCAGAAGAGTCCCATTGCTTCTGTCTTTTTTTAGTAGACATGGAGAAAAAGCAAGTAGGTACAGCTTTTTAAAGGATGCAAATGTGATTTCTTTTGGAATTGGCCAGTGGAAAGGGAGTATATTTGTAAATTACTTGGGGAGTGGGTGGGGGGAACCTTAATGCAGAGAACAGGATATTAGAAAAGGGATAAATTCACTAAATGATGTGATGACACAAAATCAGCCTGCTGGCCAAGCAGGTACTTCAGCTTCTTGTTTAAAAATACTGGTAACCAAATGTCCATATTCAGCTAAATAACTGTCTAAAAGGCATAGATTAAGTCATCTGTAATGAGAACCCTGTGGCAGAGGGAATTAATCAGGCTCTTAGCATTTGTGCAGTGCCCATACAGAGTTCTCTTCTGGGATTTGTCCTTGTCATTAATAGGCACAGGTAAGTGCTTTCATTGCTAGTGATGTTTAGTTTCAGAGTTGTGTACATCTTGCACTGACCATATCTTAGCTCATGCTTGAGAGGCTGTTAGCAGATGTACAGGGAGAGTAGTTTCTTACAAAGGCTTTTTAAAGTGCTGGTATTAACTCGTGAGGTTCTTCTTACAGGATTTTGTTACGTAGAATTCGATGACGTGGAGTCACTTAAGGAAGCTCTTACGTATGATGGTGCAGTAAGTATACTTGCTATTAATTTGTGAAATAAAAAGATAAGCACAACTCTCAAACTCCTTGGTAGCCTGTATGATACATTCTGAAGACATTCTCCCTTTTATTTAACAGCTTTTGGGTGACCGATCACTCCGAGTGGACATAGCAGAAGGCAGAAAACAGGATAAAGGTGGCTTTGGCTTCAGAAAAGGTGGTGGACCTGATGACAGAGGTGACTTCTGGTTTTCTAAGTAGCTTCTTAAGTGAAATGGTTGTAGTTATGATGTTTGGTGCTAACTAATGCTAAGACAAGACATGCTAGTAAACATGGAGGTGATACAGGAAAGAGAAATTTTTATATGTATATACACGTTTCTAACCTAGCTGCTGCCATGCCTGAGATGTCTGGACTATAGATGCGCTTTGTGTCCAAAAGCTGAGTATGTTGTCACTCCTAGCCCAGGAAGTGAGACCAATACCCCTGGTGATGTACAATGTCTTGCAGAGGACAATCATAAGCCCGGTAGTCTGGTCTGCTACTATTTTATTATGATGCAAGGAAAGTGAGTAAGCAAAGTAAGCACAAGTAGATAAATAACTTGCTTTGGACTATCCTGTTCCAGTGTAAAACCAGGCTTTGCTGTAGTTGAAGGTTAGTTGAATGAGACTAAAGGTTTGCATTGAATGTGGATTAGAGAAACTTTCCTGACCACTTGTTCTTGATTAACTTAAACCAATCTTTTGTTCCTGTGTTATGGAACTTGGTAGTACCAGAATGAAAGGATTTTCCAGCAGCATGACTTTGGATATTGAAGGACTGAAACTTTCATTTGGTATCCCCATGATCAGCCTTTCCCACAGCTTCAGACCTGAACACAATTGTGGCTTTTTTCCTAGGAATGGGAGGAGGTTCCCGAGAATCCAGAGGAGGTGGATGGGATTCCAGAGATGACTTCAATTCTGGTATCAGTATTAACACTTATAAAGATAGGCAGCCTAAAAGGCACAGAAATGCTCTCATTTTTATGTCAGATACATTTGTCCCCATTACCGTTTTGATTGAATCTACTTTAAGCCAACTTTGGCCTACAGCTGCAATGGGATTCTTCCATTGCCTTATAACAGAGGAAAGAGTCTTGATTGTGAATTTTATGAAACAATCCTAAATGACAGAATATTTGTTCAAGTATAGCTTATGCTGTCTAGGTTTTAAGCATTTCTCAAACATGTGGCCAAGTACATATCTGAATAGTAGCAGAAACAGATAATGTGTAAAAGCTGATATTGTATTCTTTCGGAGCAGAGGCTTTCACTTCTTAAGGCGATGTGACATCATTATATGTGTATCCCTGAAGCAACTGACTTCTCCAAAGATGTTAGTGTTCCAAAGCACTTCTAAATGCAAAATGTTCCTAAACTTTTAGACCTGTTGCAATAAGGCAAGCTGCAACACACGACTGAGCTTGCTGAGTAGATGGTAGTGATGGAGCCACTGGGTTTTCTTTTGACTTCCAGTCAGCTATTAGAATCCAGGGTGGCATCAAAACAGTTGCTTTTGTCCTCTGAAATCATGGGTTTGGTCCATTTTCTGATGGGGAGATGCTGGCACGTGCAACTTTGCAATGTCTGGTCTCTGCGTGAGTGGAATGGACGAAGTAGGAGTGGTAACAAAGTGTGCCCTCACCAGTAGCATGAAGCTGAAGCATGGTGCTGGAGAGAGGAAGCTTGCTGCAGTGCTGTGCTTAACCTGCCTTTGTAGCTAAGCATTCCAGTGTGATAGCTTTATGCCTTCTTTGGCAGCTTCTTCAAAATGCGGATGCATTTCAGTTTGTTAGATGCTGGCTGAGTGGAGATTCAGAAGTTTAGCACTCAAGTTTTAGTTGCTACAGAAGCTTTTCTTCTCGGGTTGTACAGCCTTGCTCTGGATCAAGTCTTTAAAAATGGTTCTTTGGCACTGAAGTAAGTAAGAGACAGTTCTGCAACTCTGCAAATACCAAAGTGGAAAAGAAAATCTCAGATGAGAACAAAACAAAACAATGTTCTCTTCCAGATGGCTTCTGAAAAACAGAGTATATCCCTTGTAGGTGTGCTGAAGTATCCTCCTCCTACTGAATGCAGATGATGGGGGCTTGGAGAGATGCTTTAGAGTAGTAATTGGTACAGACTGGATCTCTGATCAGTGACAGGCAGCTCTTGATTTTTTTTGATACACAAACTGAAGAAATACAGCCAGTTTCATATCTAAAGTCTGAATTGGTTTGGATTATTTTATTTTTTTTTTCAGCTCTTTGGTAAATGCCTGGTCTGTTCATAGTTCAACTAAAAAGCCTTGGGGTGTTGCTCTGTTTTTCAAAGGCTCTGTTTTAGAAAGACTTTATATTTCACTACTTAGCTGTTCACCCATTTCCTCTGCTCCTGCAGGTTTCATGCCAAGGCTGTAGCCAGTGGGTGATTTGGCTACAGAAGTACTCCAAGTACTGCCAGTGTTGTCTCCGAGTTCAGCTATGGGTGTTAACAATCTGAGTTTGCAGCTGAAGCTCGTATTTTAAACTCACTTGGTGACCCACTCCAACACTCCAATAAGCCTCTAGGAGGATAAAGCAGTTTCTAAACTTGGCATAGTATATACTTGGTTTCAAATGGCATCTGTGTGACTCTTCTGGAACATGTTGGAGATCTCTGAAGCAATCTGTCTACAGACAAAGGCTCTTAGTGCATCATCTTGGACTGACAGCAGTGACTTGCAAGGTTTTCCAGTCATCCAGTTAAAAATCTAGATTAAAAGCATTGCAAAATACACTCTTTAAATTCACTGTCTTCCGTCTTCAGGATACAAAGATGATGACTTCTTGGGAGGCCGGAGTAGAGGGACCCGCCCTGGAGACCGGCGACCACCAGGTGCTTCAATGGGAAGTGGTGGCACTGGCCGCTTCAGAGATGGGCCTCCCCTTCGTGGATCTTCCATGGACTTCAGAGAGCCAACAGAAGGTAAAGTCTTTGTCTTCTGAAATTCAGTATTCCTTCACAAAGCAGACTCCTGCTTTCTTTGTCAGGTTAAAGCTACTGCCCTTGGCAGACCTTCATTCAAACCTCCTTATTTTTTCTTTCAGAGGAAAGAGCACAACGACCCCGACTTCAGCTCAAACCTCGAACAGTTGCTACTCCCCTCAATCAAGTAGCCAACCCAAACTCTGCTATCTTTGGTGGAGCCAAGCCCCGAGAGGAAGTAGTAAAAGAGCACGACTGAATTGGGGGTTGAGAGGGAATGGGGAGGCGGGAGAAAAAGCAAGACAGTACAGAGTAACTAGCTCTGCTGGAATGTCAACCCTGCAGTTTACCATTCCTGCCATCTGGTATTTGTCCTCTTTGAAACCGAAAACACAGAGCTTGTGAATGCATGTCAGCTGTTAACGAGTGGTTTTTTTGTACGTTCTCGGCTTTGCTGTATCTAGTGCCTGCTTTGTGCTGAGTTTCCCTCTTCTGTTTCCTTCCGAGCAGCACAGTTGCCAGTAGATAAGGCAGTGTAGCTGCTTCCACGAGTGTGGAGGTCTCTGGACGAAGGTGCTGCTTCACTTCTTCCTTTCTGGGTTTGTTTTACTTTAGAAGCACAGGTTAGACTTAGTTATTTCCGTGTATTTCTTTTTACTTCCTCAGTGCTCCTCTTCTGACCTGCATGTCTTGTTCTGTATTGCTGTGGCTCTGAGGAGGAAAACTGGAGAGTCCAGATGAGTTGAACAGAGAAATTTACAGTTCTAACCAAGTAGTAAAATACCATTTTTATCAACTGGTGACAGTTACTGTATACAGCAGAGCCCCTTATAAAACTAAGGGAGAAGAGCTGCCCTTTCACACAGGTTACCAGGAAGTATCAATTTAGTCAATGCCTTGGCTGAAAAAAACCCTGGTCAATAGGTGGTGGAGTTAGTATGGCTGCCAGCAGACTCTTGCTGGTGGCTGGCTGTTGGCTTCAAAACGGTATGATACTACACCTCTGCTCAAGGTTAGCACTGCAAGAATGTGCCTGTTGGAGCACAACTGCTCACTGGCTCTTTCTGCTTACTTTCTTTTTTCTTTTTGGGGGGTTTTACATGTTTGGTAAATTTTTAAATGAAGTTTCTACAAATAAAATGGACTTTTTTATTTTGTTTAAGGAGTGTATACTTTGCCATGCAGTGTGTAACCCCCCATCACCCCCTGTATTTCTTTGCCCTGTGGTGTACAGTTTTAAGACCTCTGCTTTCAGAATACCTTGAAAATGGGCAGATTAGAAATTGTTCTGCTATAGATTCTCTTCACGTAGAAGCTTGGGTAAAAAGCATCTCTTAAGTGCTGCACCTCTCTTCACTTGAAATGTTTCTTGTGGGTATTGTGTGGGAGGAGGGAGGTGAGGCTGGAGCAAAGGAGAGGGATCATTAATGTTCCAAAACAAAACCTGGCTCTCTACACATGAAAGTGTGCATATGGCCAATGCATGAGGGAAAACTTGGGCCCCTACTGCTAGTGCTGACAGCTTTTGGATGAAGCAGCCAGCACTCTGGAGTGCTGTGAAGAGGAGCTTGGAACTGTGGCTGCTTTGCTACCAGCATCACTGCTAGTAGTGAATTTCTTCCCTAAAGCTACCTTTAATGTCAGAGTCCCAGCAATTTACAGAACTACTCTTTCCTTCCTTCTGCCTGTCACTTAATCTGCTCCTGAGGTAAGAACCATTTGTCTAACACTAATAATTTAAAACAGACATGCATTTGTGTGGTTGTATTCCAAACCAATAATTGATCTATTTACATCTTCAATGTGGAAAGGATTTTAAGAACAAATTCCCATATAAAAACTCGCCTCTAGTCAAGACACTTGACTTTTAAATGTAAAAACAAAGGAAAAGAAAAAAAAAAAGGAAAAGAATTCCGAACACTTAACACATTCTGCTTCATAACAAAATAAATTTATGGATATGGTATTTTGTGAATGATCTTTTAAATAAAAGAAAAACATTAAGTAATATTTAACATTGGTCTTTATTTGAGTCTGCCATAGCATGTTTCCCCCTCTCAGTTTTCAAACATTGTGTTAATGTGGAAATTTCCTTAAATTTTTCTGGGGAATCAGGCCCAGATCCATTCTTGCACAAAATACGGGGGAAGTCTAATCTAAATGAGTGCTGGAACCTGCAGGCCACAGTGAAGTAACAGTTGTGTGTGAGTGGAAGAGAGCCCAAATTCTTTTTCCTGTGCCCTCAGCTGTATTTGAAGTGGTGCAGTTACAGGTTGTGTAGTTGCTCATTTCCCAGAAGCTGAGTTTTGCTGCCCTCTGACCAGGATCATCCCCTGCTGGATAGAGGGCAGAAGCTGTATCCACCTAATGTGAACAGGGATCAGTTTCATGTGGAGTCTTTGTGGTAAGAGGAAAGCAAACAGATCAGTTTGCTGTTGCCTTGCCCAGTTTCTCCCAACTTTTCCAGCTGACCCGTTTCCCACTAGCTGTAACTGTTGAGGAGGCTGTTGCCCTGTGCCTGTGAAGTGTAGGCATGCTGCAGGGTATGCTGAGAGGGGGCCGTGGTTTTATTGAGGAAATGAGCTCTGACCTCCCTGCTGCTTTCACTGCTTTCCATAGCATGAAAGGATGGGAACTGTTCTGGCTACTTGGTCTCTCTTTAGACCTGCTGTTAGGACAGCTTGAGCAGAGAATCCAACTCCTGCTCTGGAGCTACTTGCTGCAGCAGCACAGCATGTGTACTCGTGCCTGGCTGTCCTATAGGAGCAGCACCCTGAGTGTTGGAGTAAGAGCAGGGCTAGCTGTTGGAGGCGGTGTTCTTAGCTGCTGCATAAAGCTTGCTCAGAGCTGGTGTTACAGGCCTTTGGGTGGTAGAAGCAATGGTTTCCTCACTGCATGGAGGAAAGTAACACTGACTTGTGAGAACTGTAGCGAGATGAAAAATGGCTCATCTTAGTTCTGTGTGTAGCTTTCTGTACCTGCTGGTATCTGGTTGATCAAGGGTTTCCTATTGGTGAGTGTAGCCTGATCCCAGTATCATTTAATACCTTATTTTTGTAGTCCTCCGTATGCAGCCGTCAGTGGATTGCCTGGTTTTGTTGGAGCATTCTTGAGTCCGCTTCTCATGGCTCAGGGTTAGACCTCTCCAGTCCTTTTTCTGTCCTCCCTTTGAAAAAATGAACGTTTTCCTATACAGAAGCATCTCAAATGAGCTTGTGTCAGCAGTTGACAAAATTACACATGTGGCATTTGGCTTTTTCTAGGGGGAAGCAAGATTATTTTTGCACCATCCCACCAGCAAAACAGTTAAGATGTAATCTGTAATGCTTAGTTTTACCTGCAGCTTAAAGCTAGGCCTGGCATGGCAAAGCCAAGACCCAGGAGGTTACTAGCAGCGGTAACAAATAGATGATGCACTTTGTGGCTATTTGTATTTTCCCCAGGTTATTTCTAGCAGCTGTGCAGAGCTTTCTGCAAGCTTGAACTTAAAAACCTGACCAAAACTGAAGTCAGGAATGCAGCAGACAGGTTTTGGAACTGAAACTGAATTTGCTTTGCTACTGTGGAAAGTGCTTTGTTGTGTTTCTCCAGTTGGGCTGCGGGTGGGGAAGAGTGGTGTGGCTGGAAGAGCTGTGGGACAATGCCAGAGTAAGCAGCGTGCAGCCAACATGCTGCGGAGCTCCACTGGTGGCCACTTAAAAGCAATTCCAAGGCCAGGAGCAGTCCTGGGAGAGCTTAATCCCAGTCCTAGCAGCAGCAGCAGCCATGCTGGCATGTGTGTGTTGTGAGATCCATAGACCGTGGCAGCATCAGAGGTTCTGTGGTCATGAGTGGGTTGAAGAGAGAGGAGGAGGAGGAGCGTTCCCCTATTCAAATGATGGGCTGGGGACAGAGTCAAATCTGTGCTTACTCGCTTTCCTAAAGTAGCAGTGAGATGTTAGCATGCTACTGAGATGTGCTGGCACTGCTCAGAGAGCCTCTGATGCTGACCATGAGTGTCTGAAGTTGTGCGAGGTGTCCCAGCGAGGAGCTGTACCTACGATTTGCTATCCCAGGCAGGTTTGGATGATCCTGATGTTTTTCAACTTGTTTTAGGAGTTCTATTGCAGTTTCCATCTTGACTTTAGCACACAGTATAGTGCAGCAGCTGCTCCCTGTAGTGCTACCTGCTGACTGGTCTGCAGGAAAGATTGCAGAATGCTGGGAAGTTTGGAGCAAATCCTGTGATATTCCAGCCCCTCCTTTTTGTGGGAAAGCCTGAAGAATAAAGGCAGCAAAGTCTGAAACGCAGAGTGCTCACGTGTAGTGACTTGCAGAGCAGCCCTTGTCCTGCTGAGTGCTTTGAGCAAAGCTGTTTCCAGTGCTTGGTTTCCAGGAACCCCCCTGCTCACCTGGAATGTGTTTTGGACAAAGGAGTCCCGTTTGCTCCGAGCAGCGCAGCCGACAGCCAGGCATAGATCCCTGGGTTTTGATACCACCTCATTCCTCCTCAGTGTGTGGAAGTATCATTATTCCTGCTGGCTTCCAGCAGGAACACAGGCAATAAGCTGTTACCTATGAGCATCTTCACATTCCTGTTAAGTTTCTGTTTTACATACTCATGGTTTCTGTGTTTCACTGCCAGTGAAGGCTCTGAAGGAGTGGGGCTGTGGTGGATCCTGGCACATTGTAGCATAGAACCTTTGTAGTTCTCAAGGGCACTTTTCTGGACTGGGTTCTTGGGATGCAGTTTTGTAGGTGATAGTTGTCTGGAATATTCAGAAAGGGGAGTTTCTGTGGCTGAAGAGGAATTTGGTTTCCAGCTGAGACTGGAATGCTCTGATCTGGTAGCTGAATCCCTCCTCTCAAATGCCACTTACACACTGCAGGATGTGAAGGAATCAAATTCATTTGAAGTGGCAGAGGGCCATCTTTTATCAGGTGCACGCATTTTATCTATATAATCTGTAATTTACTGTTACCTGTGATACCACTCACTGCAGTGCTATTAATCCAACTGACCAGAAGCATTTAAAATGGTGCAATCATATTCTTTGACCCTGCTCTCTGAAAGGATTTGATCTGTCAGTGCCAGACACTTGCCTCTTAAGCCTGATGCATGTTTGTAATAACAATCTTGATGACATTGTATGTTCTAGGCTAACTGGAGAAAGGTGCTACCAAGGTATGGCTTGCCCCTGGCCTGCACATCAGGGATTGCAAAGGAGCTTTGCTGGTTCCATCTGTGTCTGCTCACGGAAACCCAAAGCTCAGATGGGCACAAGGAATGGGAGATCAGGTTCTGGTCGCACAAGTGGTGTCACTGTGTGCGCATGGTGTCGCCCGTGTCAGTGTTATTAGCTCTGAGATCATGTTCCTCATCTTCATGTAGCTGTTTGGGTGACTAAATCTAAAGCGTTTTCTGGTTTCCTTTTCCATAGCAGCGATGGCTGTGTTTCGTGACGTGTCCTGCTCAATGGCAGCTTCATTTTAACATCAGCTTCCCTCATTTCTGTCCCCTTTGCAGCAAAGTGCATTCAAGGGCTTTAAGGACCTTCAGTGCTGTTACAGGACCAACCTGTAAGCTCAGATTCTTGTGTGAAGCTCTACAGAGTACCCCAGGGTTGATGTTTTGGGTCTGTTATTGGGAACGCTGTCGTCCTGCCCTGTAGGTTTCAGCCAGGTTGAGTGTTCCCCACGGCAGGGATCTCGCACCCTACTGTGAGATTGTTTTGTTCTTGTCACCGTGCTCCCGAGATCTGCCTCTTTCTTTTAAATAAACCAAAAAATCACCAAGTACCTCTCTGAACCCCTGCAGAACCTGTACTGTAACCAACCTGTACAATTTGTATTGCTGTAAAAAACCAATCCAATAAAAGCATTCAAACCTTCTAGGGTTTCGTGGTCAGATTTCGGAATTACCGTTTCAACAAGGATGAACGAAGCGGGATAAGAATGGGAAGAAGCTTTTTAGCACCACAGGGATGTACGGGATTAGTCTTTGTAAAGCTTACACGGGCAAATGGGTGTAAAGCCCCCCGAAGCCCTGGCTGTGGGCTGTCTTTCCACTGGGTGGTAGCAGCAGGTATCTTCTGCTGTAACGGGGCGGCTCTCGGTTTCGGCTCGGGGAGGTCAGGTTTGCAGTGGGGCATGCAGCTGGGGCAGGGAGGAGGTGGCACTTCCCCTTTTCCTTGGGGAGATGCTCATGAGGCTGCAGCTAAAGAGGAAAGCTGTTTCTTGGGCTATACAGAAACGTGCCTGTGCTGCCTTAGCACATCAGAATAGTTCCTTCAAGATGTGGCTTTCATTAAGGGTGCTGTGAAAATCTGGCAAGCCAAAATCACTTGTTGGTCAAGTGCTTGGGATGAGATGTGTGCTTATTCTGGTCCCAGCACAGGGGGGATCTGAATGCTTGTCTCCTGCAAAGTAGGCAACGCTTGACTCACAAAGCTCATGAGAGTTGGGAAAAGGAACTTGTTGGAGCTCAGCACCTTTCCTCAAAGCTTTCAGTATTGGGTGTGTTGCAAAGAATCAGACTCATAGAATGGTTTAGGTTGGAAGGGACCTGAAAGCTCATCCAGCTCCAACCCCTGCCATGGGCAGGGACCCCTTCCAGTAGAGCAGCTTGCTCCAACCCCTGTGTCCAACCTGGCCTTAAACACTGCCAGGGATGGGGCAGCCACAGCTTCTCTGGGCACCCTGTGCCAGCGCCTCAGCACCCTCACAGGGAAGAGCTTCTGCCTAAGAGCTCAGCTCAGTCTCCCCTCTGGCAGGTTAAAGCCATTGCCCTTGGCCTGTCCCTACAGGCCCTTATAACCAGTATGCTTCTGCAGAAAGGCCAGTTTAGATGATGCAACGTTTTCTCATCCTTGTTTCAGTGCTGATTTCTGATCAGCATTAGTCCTAACACCTGGTTCAAGCAAAACCAGCTGAGCTTTGAGCAGACCCCACCTTCATCAGGAAGGATGTGAGCTGATCTCTAAGGCCATTCAGCCTTCCAGCTTCAGCAGGTAAGATGGGCAGGGTGGAGAGGGGG